TCCCCTGGTGGGTGCACAAAGAACCTGGGAATCTTGGTCACACCAGAGTCCAATAGTCCCTTAACACTAGTTTTTGTTGCATCAAATGCCTTCACTTCTTCAGGAATGGAACTCGCAGCATTGGGTATCATGACTTCCATTTTTGCAAAATAGCGGATGGCAGTGCTTTTTTCTTTTTCTTGGTTTTGGTAACAGAACTGGATGGTGAGTAGTATATGACGATGAATCCAATTAAATAGAGCTCTTAGGTGGACAGAAATCAAGCCAAATTTTTTTGTAAAAAGTAATTTAAAAAAAATAAAAATAATAAAGATGAGAGGTGGTCATATATAATCCAATTATTCAACCGAAAAATATTGTAATATGGAAGACGTCATGAAAGATTTGCTAAATCTCATTCTCAAATATTGTAATGGATCATGTGCCAGACGTAATTTTTGGTTTTATTTTTTCCTATTTAATTTCATATTTTGTAGCTTTTAATTTTTCTATCCTTTTGCCTTTCAAATTGAGTTCAGAGATAGATCATTTTTAATTTATTATAAACCTCTTTTACGAGGGAGATGTAGAGAATAATTTTACTTAGATATAACAATGAGACTAGGGTTCTAGTTTTTGGCCTTTTTTTGCGATCGAGTTCTTTCTTGATTCTTTGTCTAGCTAATTTACGAAAGAAAATTGTACCATGGAATGGTCCAATAGCTAACTTTCTCTCAACTCTTCTCTTCTTGGCTTAATTAATTATGGGATTATTGAAAATTTATATAATTAACATTATATAAATAAATTAATTATAAGTAAATGAAAGGTTAATCTTCAAAGAATTCTTAATATTTCTACTAAAAAAACTTTTGGTTTTTTTATATTTAATTCTTGATTTATAATGGTTTTTTAAAGGTTGATAATGACACCTTTTTTTATTAATTTATTGATATTTTAACTTTTAAATTCAATATAAAAAAAAGTAAAGGAAGAGTTTTAAATTTGAATTTTTCAGATATTTTTCATACTGTTCTTCACCTTATATTTTTTTTTCATTTTAAGCTTTATTTTTCCTTTCAAATCTAAAACTTATATTTATCTTGTTGAGAGATATTTGAATTTTATATTTTTTTATTCAAATAGTAATTTATTTAGAAATATATTTAAATTAAGATGGTGGTGTTAGAGTCTTGAGAAATATATTTTAAATATCTTAGTTATACAAATAATGAGCAATAAAATTTTAAAAATAAAAAATTCATCATTTACAACAATAAAAATTTCATTATTTTAGAGTTTTTTAACAAGTAAATACTTGTTTTATTTTAATTTAAATAATTTTTTATATTTTCTTTAATGCTAGGATTTTATTATTATCTTTATGTTGAAAGTATATTTATTATTAGTTATGTTTTTATATAATTAAATTTTTAAATATATATAAACTTTAAGTTTTTATTGAATATATTTTATTAAGCATACTTTCATAATGATGAGCTAAACACTTTGCTCATTCGAATCTAATATATGTTTACAGAGATATCATGCAAGATGTGATCTGCCAAATCTCATCATTCTTAAAGACTTCTCTCATTTGTTTTCTTTGTCTGGTCACATAATTGAATACATGATATTTTTTATATTATAGTTGTTGGCTACGTTAGTTGTCACATCTTTCATTGAAGTCCAAATAAAAAAAATTGAAATAATAAATTTATTAATTGAGTTTAGTAGGAATTGTATTTTAATCCAAATTTGATAGATATCAATACAAATTAATGGGGTTTTTTTTATATAATTATTTTATTCAATGAATATAGGATATGACATAGATATAATTAAATCTGGCTCGAATTGTTGACTGAAATTTAACCCAAAATATTTATTTGTATATACACACTTTGAATATATATATTATTATTTTATTTTATTTAAATAATAAATAATTACTGGATAGTAAATATTTAAATAGATATTCAAAACTTAATATATATAATATCAATATCTAAATTTTTTACCCAATAAATAATGGATAGCATACGAATGCAAAAATCCCGACCCGTGAATACTATTAAATTTCTAATAATTTCTATAAACATTTTTAAAAGTAGCATCATGCATGTAACAAAAAATTGGATAAATTGAATAAAATTAATAATCTTACTGTACATTAACACATCACATGGAATCAACTCCAAACACAGTATGTGCAAGAACGTAACTAGCATGAACATGTAATGTGTAAATACCACAGTGAATTTTGATGGCTTTGGATGTAAGAAGGGAGTCAAGGAACGGAGGAAAAGATGGAGTTGTAATCGTGTGAACCTAATGAATGCGTGAAATTCTTCTGTGGCAATGGATGAAATCACTATCGGAACTCTTATCAGAGCCACTCGGATTTCATGCGACTGAATTGTTGGTCTGCCATTATTACCAGGCTTGTCCTGAACGGCTGAACCTGACTTGACGCTGGGTGCCATCAACCACACAGACATCTTTTTCAGAGAGTATTTCTGCATGCAGGAAAACATGGGTGGCCTCCAAGTTAGTCATCAAAATCAATGGATTGATGTTCCTCTAGTGCAGGGTGCTCTTGTTTTAAATTTAGGGGACTTCTTTTCTGTTTTTTTATATTTTCAAGCGCCTGTCAAAGGAGGTTGCTGCGATAAAGCTTGTTTCCATTCGAGCAGAATGGTTGGCTGAAATATCCTTTTTAAGTTTTTTCCCATCTTTTACTAAAGCTGTCTCTCTTACTGCTCTGCTGTTTGATTCTCTGCAGTCTTCTCTAGCCTCGTTCTTTTTGTTTCTTCGGGTTTTTTTTCCCGGTTTAGTGACGGTATCTCCGATCAGTCATAACAATTTTTTTTTGGTAAACCCAAGGATAAATTTTGTGCATGGAAAATGCGAGGACTTTCATTCTAATCTTTTATCGCTAACTTAAATAATTGCAGTGTTTATTTTATTTTAATCTGTCAGATTCACAGTTTCCGCATACATCGTGTTTTTATAGTTATAGGTCTTCAATCATTGATAACAATTTTATTGTAAACAAAATTATTGCACGTCTCACTCGAATCTGATTGGCATCAAGGCCGGAAGTTAGACGAACATGAATCAAGTCAAGACACGACGTGAATTAATATTTCAATTTGTCATTTTTTTTTTCAACTTGTCATTTTTGTTGTAGGGGTTACTAGCTAAAGGGACCATCAATGTTAATGAGTATTGAACCTGTCCTTTTGTTTTTCATTCAGCTAATTACAATGACTACAAGATCTAAACTTTATATCCATGGTCATCTCTACTTGTTGATTTTCTTTTTTTATTTATCTTGTAAAGAGAAAAAAAAGAAAATAGTTCAAAACCAATATTTATAAATCTCACACAATTTCACCAGTTACTAGATGTTATACCCGTGCGATGTTGTGGGCTTATTGCATATTTGTGCTTTGTTATAAATTTATTAAAAAAAAAATAATTGTAATCCACAATGTTTTCAAGAAAAAAATTATAAAATTAAATTTTTAATCTAAAAAACAATCAAAAAAAAAAATAAAAAAAAAAAACTAAAGGAAAAAAAAAACAATGTAGAGAAACACTGTAGCAATCTATAATGTTTCATGAGAAAATCTACTGTTGTAATTTTTAACCAGCTCAATATTAAAAACAATAAAATTGATAAGGATAATTTTAAAAAAAATCATAACAAAAAAAATCATGTTGAGAAATACTATAGCAATCTATAGTATTTTAAAGATAAAAACTATGAAGTTAAAATTTCAACCAACTCAATATAAAAAAAATAAAATCAACAAAGACAATTTTAAAAAAACAAAAAAAATTATAAAAAAATAAAAAAAATCATGTAGAAAAACACTGTAGCAATACACAGTAGTTAAAAAAAAGCTAAATTTTCAATCAGCTCCATATTAAAAAAAAAATCAACAAAAAAAATTTTAAAAAAAACAAAAAATTGAAAGAAAACAAAACAATAGAGAAAAAAACATATGACAAAAGTCAAAGTTGAATTCTCAACCACTTCATTATTAAAAAAAAAATTGATAAAAATAATTTAAAAAAAAAACATATAGAAAAATACTGTAACAAAACAAAAACTATATGAGAAAATATTGTAACAATCCACAATATTATAAATAAAAAAACTACAAAGCAAAATCGACAAAGATCATTTTAGAAAAAAAATTATTAAAAAAAATCATGTAGAAATACATTATAGTAATCAATAATATTTTAAAAAAAAATTACAAAACTAAATTTTCAACCAGTTTAATTTAAAAAAAATCAACAAAAATAATTTAAAAAAACACAAAAACAAAAAAAAATAAAAAAAAATCTTGGGAAAAAAAAAAGAAAAAAGCATGTAAAGCCAAAAAAATGAAAAAATAAAAAACAAATGTGGAAAAAAAAGGGGAAAAAAAAAAAGAAGAAGAAAAAGGCATATGGTGTGGGGAAAGCTACATTGCTTTCCCCACACCTTTTAGAAAAATTGATAAAAATCATTGTAGAAAAAAAATTTATTAAAAAAAAACCATATAAGAATAGTACTTAATAATATTTTAAAGAAAATACTACAAAATTAGATTTTTAACTAGTTTCATTTAAAAAAATCAACAAAAATAATTTTAAAAAGAAAAAAACAAAAAAATAATAGGAAACAAAACATGTAAGGCCCAAAAAAATGAAAAAAAATGTGGAAAAAATAGGAAAAAAACAAAAAAAAAATACAAAACAAAAAAAAAAAACATGTGGCGTGTAGAAAGCTACAGTGCTTTCCCATGCCTTTTAGAGTATTAGTTAATATGTTGCATGTAGCAATCAACAACTGCAACTTGCAGCTTGCGAGTGGCAGATAACAATTGTGACTCGATCAAGAAAATATGTACAAGGGAATTATTTCCAGCCTCTAACTCCCAGTTGAAAAAACCACAAATTCACATCATCAACCTCAATGACCGCATAACTTCAATCACAATCTAGTCTCAACTAACACAATCAAACACAAAATGTATATATATCCATGTCATATAATGCAATCAACACAATTCAGTCCCAACTAATTCTTATAGCATTATATCATATCATATAATATAACTACATCTAAAAATAACCCTAGCTTGTGGACAAGCTTCGGGCGCTTGTATAACTAAACCTTGCAATAATGTAGTAATGTGACACTGTGACGAGATATGAGAGGCGAGAGACAATAAGCGGATGTTCAAAATTGTCTAGTGTGACTGAAAGGGTGATAAGACTAGACTATTTCCCTAGCATGTCGCATCAACAGATTTGGGCATCGAGTTGAACTTTCCTCCCAAAAACAAAAATGAAAGCACTATATGGCATCTCATCATATAGAGCATGGACCCAAAAACAAGACCCATTACTATGAAAAGATTGCACAGGGATGTGGAAGTCAAAGAGTACTTCTTTTCTCTATGAAAAGATTGCACAGGGATGTGGAAGAGAAGCTGAGCCCCAGTACACCAAACTTTGAACGCACAAGTGCAAAATAACTCACAAGCCAAAGTCCAATCTAGCTCGTTTCAATACAGATTCCACCCTCTCATAAAATTCAGGTTCCAACTCCTTGATTTCTTCTGGCGTCCTCAACTCATGTTCATCTGCCTGCAGAGAAGAGAAAACATTCTATTAAAATTTCAAACCACGTTCCAGTTTAGCATGCCCAATTCCAAGTAGTTTATTTCATAGCAAAGGTATCAACACAGGTTAGTTTCATCCCTACAACTAGCAATGCCTGTCAAAATGAATGGCAAAGGATGTATTATATTGAATTACTACATCAATTTAATGATCAGAAGCTTACAGCTTTTGAAAAATCTTTCCAATGAATCATACAAGCATACAGTAAAAAGGATCGTCAGAAGATAGAAATAGCAAATTAGTGAAAAGTGACAATAAAGCAAACTAAGCTATGGCTTCATCTTTGGTGTCCAACAAAGGATCCAAAGGAATGACAGCACAGTGGTAAAAAAGGCTTATTAGAGAGGCCAAGACATAGCTTTGATTGATAGCTGCAGCTTTCATCTAACTAAGAAGTTGTAAGCTCAAATTCCCCTTATTCCCCTTATCTGGGTATCAAAAAAAAAAAAAGGAAGCTTAAATGATCACCAAAAAGCTAAGTTTGTTATCATATCATATCATTGTTAGAGAATAATATAAAATATATCTTAAAAGCTCATTGTTAGATAATAATATAAAATATATCTTAAAAGCTCATCTAAAAGCTTAAGTTATTGGGTTGAATTGGTTCTTTGACATGGTATCAGAGCCTTAATAACCAAGTGGTCATGAGTTCAAATCTCACCATCCCCATTAATTTGATAAAAATCAAGCGCAAGGTAATGTAAACCTGTGCAAGTTTCAAGCCCAAAGAGCTTTCACTTGATGGGATGTGTTAGAGAATAATATAAATCATATCTTGAGACCTCATCTAAAAGCTTAAGCTATGGGAATGAATTGGTTCTTTAACAATCATCTCCCTTAGGTGCTAATGAAAACAAAAGATAATAACTATTTGCTAGGGGTTGGTTATGGGTGCCTTATGAAACTTCTTAAAAAGTTGGAATACTACAGTTTTAATTTTCAAGGAAAAAAAGTCTTAAATGCAAAAGAAGCTTCCCTTGATTGTTGAGATGATGATATACACTACTAGATTCATAAAAAAAAAAAAAAAAAGTTATATGAGAAATATGGCAATTAAAAACAATTCAAATAAATAAATAAACCTGAATTTTCAACATAAACGCAAGATAAGATTAGTGTTAATTAGAAATCCTAAGGAAAAAGATATGTGATGCAATAAAATGGTAGATAACAAGAAATTTAACAAGGGAGGTGCATGGGAGGAGAACATGAGTAGATGAGATGAGCTTCTAATGCATCAAAGCCAAAGAAACTGCATATTTTAGACTTCCAAGACCAGCTAGAGCCCCATTTTTTGTTCAGAAAAATTAAATGAAGATACCTCTTTAAATTTTAAGAGAATCAAGTTTGAGACAGATGCTGGCTTCTCCTTGTCCCACCTGAAGAGAGAGAACCAGCAGGAAAATGCACAATCATTAATAATTAGGTTCAGAATTACCATCAAGGTGACACCAATTGAAGTAGGAGACACAACTAATGTTATAATGTTTTCAAAGCATATCACTATACATCAAAGATTAAAAAGGTCCCACTGAGCTCTGAAAAGCATGAACTTTCCAGGAAAATTATTGCATATCAATACACCCCACGTGATATTGCACTGCCAGTATGATTTGCAGAAGAATAGTATTGTCTCAGTTTTTGATAATAAAAAATCATGACTGATGAATGCTCAGAGGATTTATTATGGAGAAATATACCTCACAAGCATTAACTCATTTACAGATCGCCACATTCCACGCCCAACATCCTTTGCAAACTGATCTCTAGCACTTCGTCCATGCCACAGTTCTTTGGCAACATACATCACTTCCTCAACATCCACCTATAAGAAATAGCAACCAACAATGACAACCTATTCAAGATGATGCAATCCCAAATACCCCAAGAGCACAAGAATCCTACAAACAAGCAGCACATAGGGCTTTTGATACACCAGAAACTGGACGATTTTTGTTTGTCCTCCCTTTTCCTTGTTAGGATAAGCCAAAGATAATTTATTGTTTTATATGAAAGAAAAAATATTAAGAACCAAAAAGAATCACATAAGATATGTATAAAGTACTGTAAAACCCAAGATGATGGTACAATTGCAGGATGGACCAGGATAAGTGCCTTGCATATCACAGGCCTTTATATGATTGTCACTATATAAAAACACTTCCTTGAGGACCATGCCCTCGGGCACAAGTCCACGATATATTTTTACATGTGGATGAGCAGTCTGCATGAGCCCAAGACAATTTTAACTAGCAGTATTATTTCTATTGCATAAACCCCAAACAGGTAAAAAATCTGGCTTCACCCTGGATTGAATGAAGTTTTCGACCAGTGGCATCTTTCTATCAAATGAAAACAAAAGCGCACTTTGGCACATAAAACAAAAACTATTCCCCTTAACACTCTCAATTGTAATGTTTCATTCCTTAAAAAAAAGTAGATAAATAAGAAAAATCAAAGGAAAGAAGACAGTTTTTATGCTTTAAATTCTTTGATAAATCTTGGAACACATATAAGACACCCAAAGTCCCCAGGCCACAGTGAAACTCAATGCCCACCACCAGCACCCAGGAAACAAGCATCAAAATGATCTTGAAAGAATATCAATTAGCAACTTCATTTCTGAAGGCATTTCCATACCTGGACCTGCATAGCAGTTCCAAACAATGACTCCTCATGCTCAATAAGACGCTGATGAAGCACCCGATAATGATCCAAATCTAAATTTACTATAGGTTCAGGTTGAACATTCAATCCCGTGAGCTGTGTCACAACATAGGAGGCCATGACCTGTCCAAATATAGCAGGGATGGTACCAAGAACAGGTATTATGCGAACCCTAAACCCAGGTACTACCTGATATAGGGGTAAGATGTTAGAATATCAAAGCAAAACCATGTGATTGCAAAATGCAAGGAGCTTTTTATTTGCAGCAGCTAAGCTAAATCAACCTAGTGATTAAAATTTCATTAACAGTTACTGACAAAAATACCAAATGTTGCAAATTAAGCAGTAACACTCTCAAGTCTCACCTGATAGTCAGAAGGATTTTCTTCTTCTCCACTTGGTCCCTTAAATGGAAGCAGCTTGGCTTTAGGCTTTTCTAGAGAGAACACAACAGGGATGCCACCCTCAATGCCATGATCTTTCCTCAAACGATACCTCACCTAGAAGGCAGATTCTATATTGAGAGTTGCATCCAATACTATAAATAAGAAACTAGGAAAGCAATGATCAATAGAGCAAAATTATGTAGATGAAGAAATCTAGCAACACTTGGATTCAAAGAGAGAATTTCAGAAGCATACAGCTCGGGATAAAGGGTCATTTGTTGACTCTCTTAAATCAGCCACTCGTATTCTTGTTGGATCAGCTCTAGCACCTGCTCCAGTTGCAGACAGAACCTTTAAACCCCTACGCACACATGCAGCAAGAAGTGCCACCTATTACATATGAAAATTCAAGCATTTAAAGACAAATTTCCTGTGGTTCAGGTTAAAACACGTGAATTTTCATTATGCTTCAAGGTGCTCCATGTCACAGAATTCTGCCTGATAACTTAAAATTTAGCAGTTAAATGTCTAGATACATTAAATAAGTAGCAGGTCTCAAAAGTAAAGAAAATACAACATCAGCTATTCAACTATGATGTTAATTATTAGTATAAAGCTAGCACCAAGTGAATTTAAATCCAAGAATCACAGATCTGCAATCATCAAAACTTGAAAGCAAGAAGAAATACCTTTGTATCAATATTATCAATGCAGTCCAAAACAAAGTCGGGATGGCCAGAGAGAATTTTTTCTTCAGTTGATGCATCATACAGCAGTACTTTTGCTTCTATGTGGCACTCTGGGAAGATTGTTGAGAAATGCTTCTTGAGGCACTCGGCTTTTGGAATACCAACATCTGCTCGAGTTGCAACAGCATGGCGATTTAAGGATGAAACAGAAACCTTTTTCACATAATCAAGAACATAATCATGAAAAGATACATGTTTCTTATATATATATATAAAAACAAATGAGTGGGTGTGGTGATAAGGCTGTATTAAAAGCATTTAACACACTTAATAGTCTAGATAGCATTATGCCAGACAAACCAAACTTAGATGTTACTATTGATCATATTTTTGACAGATGAACAAAGTCTGTTGAAAACTTAATAAAAATAAGATCAACCAACGAAAAAGGAAGTCCAAACCAATAACATAAGGTAAGATAAAACTCAGGCATAAAACACAAAGTACCTGGTCAAAGTCCACAAGGAGGAGCCTGCCAACTCCAGACCTCAAGAGCATTGAAGCAGCATGACTCCCAACACCTCCAAGACCAATGACAACAACATAGGATGTAGTCACCTTCTGTTGAGCCTCAAAGCCAAAGAATTGAATGTTCCTTACAATGGAAAATAATACAAATTATTCCATTGAAAAACAAGCCTTAAACATAACTTTTTTGTGCAAGTGGCCAATGACATTTAATTTCAGAAACTCACAACAACATTATGTCTGTCTCCATAACTAGTAGCAACAAAGAAAAAGTATGGCATTTAAAAAAAAGCATTTAAGAGAAACCACGGGATGCTATACTACTGCAGGAAGATAAACTGTCAAAAACACTCTTTGTAAGAAAAGGAGACCAATGCTCTCTGCTATGAACTAACTTTAGCATATTGAATAAGTATTTGTGATTGATTGCAGTATGTTCAATGTATCTTACACAAAGGTATCCTAGACAAAGGAAAACACTAGTTCATAAACATAAACGAAGTAAAGCAAAATTACTTTACCTAGTCAATTGTTCAGATACTATTTCATCTGCTAAAAGGTCTGAATCAGGCATCCCAGAAGTACTATCTACATCAACCCCAATTCCGACCGACATCTCCGAAACAATTCCTTTGCCTATTCATAAAAACATTTAGAAATGAGTAAACACATACTCGCATCAGATGGGGTAAAATAAAGATGTTAAAGCATTCTATATTCAAACGAATTCATCGCCAAACCAAATTTATCATCTCCCAAAAAATTTACCATTTTTTATTGAAAGCCTGCAATTTTTTCCAACCGAACTACAGACTTTAACTTCAATTACGACCAACATTTCTTACTTTTGATGCTGCTCTTTAGTATTTGAAAAGGGGCATCAATAAATACCAAAAACTATCAGAATAACAAAAACTGAATACTAAAGAAGCAAGTCAGAGAGCAACTAACCAGCATTCAATTCACCAACGCTTTTACTGCATTCCTTTATAATACTTCTGTAATAACACAAACGCAATAAATCAATTAAAAAGCTTTTTCTTTTTCCAGCTTTTGAGTGGTGAAGTGATCAAGTGACTTGCCTTGGAAGAAGCTTGAGAAGGAATAGAGTAGAAACAGAACCCAAAAGAGCTCCAGCTCCAACTAATGTCAAGTGTTTCAGGCGCTCCTCCATTGCTTTCTCTTAGGCCTCAGGGTTTGCCGAGCTGAACAGGGTGGTCGAGGGTTTTTGAATAAAGGCAAAATTGAAAAAAAAAAAAAAAAAAAAAAAAACAAATCCTCCTGAACTAAAACTATTTTGATTTTACACCCTAAACAATATGACATTTTAAATGTGCCCCTTTAGTTAGGCTTTTGATAAGAAATTGATGGAAAACTCCAAAAAAATCCTCCCAGTTCATATCTTTTTCTCTACCGGCTTAGGAAAACAGGTTTACCAATAGAGAGAAGGAGAAGGATTTTATGGGATTTTCCATCAATTTCTCAATAAAACCATGATAAAAAGACAAATTCAAAAAATTATATTGTTTAGAAAGTAAAATCATGGGGTTTTAAGATTAGTAAGATATTTATTTTTTCAGCCATTTTGATCCCTAATGTTTTTTTAAATTTAATTTTGACACAACTTCAATTCTATTGTTTTCAAGTTCCAAGTTTTCAAAGGAAAGAAAATTTTTTGTCGATTCTAATATAAAGAGAAAAGGTTGTTATTTTTTAATATTTTAACCACCAAACTGATTGATATTAGTGTCTATGAATTTTATTTAATGAAAAAAATTGAATAATAGTTGTTTCAAATCTCAATGTTACCTAAATAAATAAGATTATAAAAAAAAAAATAGCCCAATTTGATTTAATGTTTTGGGATTGTTTTTGAAGTTTCTTAGGTGGACAAATTGGTATCCTAATACTGTGAGGGTGTTTATAAAGTGTTTTTTTTATTTTATTTTATGAAAATAGGTTGAAAAAAAAAGATTTTTAAGAAAAATACAACTACCTATATATTTTTTAGACATCATTACAATGGTAATATTCTAAGCAAACAAGAGACACACAGTCTCCTTTAGCAGGCAACATATTGCCTGATTTATTAAAAAATTATGAGATCTCATTGAGCTTTTGGCAAGAATCGTTGATTCAACGGGCGGGACACAACAGATAAAGCTTTTTAGTGCATTTCCCCTTGAATTAAAAAAAAAAGAAAGTAATTTAGCCTAATGTTATCATTGATTTTTTTTTTATTAATTTCAAATAAATAAATAAAACAATTTCATTGATTTTTATTGCTTAACTTAAAAAAAAACTATACCTGATTAGGATTGTATTTTGACCTGGGTTCTAAATTTTGTTTGTTGAATAAAGTTGACTGGGATAAATATAGTATGATATGTTTTTTAAGTTATAATTTAAATTATTTCTTAACTCTTTTATTTATTTCTAGATTTTATCAAGTTTATGGTTAATTAAGACTCAATAAAGGTCTAAACAGGAGGAGAATTAGAGAAGGAAAAAAAAATAAATTATCCATTCAAGTTAACTTATTATTATCATGTCTATTATCTAAGTTGTAAATTTCACACGTTAAACTAGGTCAATATAATTTGTCTTTCCTTTTTATTTCACTTTGTCATTTTTTTTCTAGTTTAATCATTTGACAATTCTTTATTTCTACATTTAAGCTAAAGTTAGATAAGACTAGAATTACATGTGTTTTGTTTAACCAAATTATCATTTGAGTTAGACAATCATTTTATTGTTTTCCAGTTTGATTGAATAAGTCACACCAACATATTTTTTTATTTATTAACATGGTAGTTAATTAATTTATTTTGATATATTTATCGAGTATTCAATCATTATTTCAAATATTTCATCATATATAAAAAAAATATTATATTTTTTAATGTATTTATGTATTTTTTACCCGACTTGCAGTAAATTACAAGCCCAATACCTAGTTTTTATTGCATCTTGTGAGTGAAATAATTGTTCATGGTTTTACTCGTTCACCAAAAAAAAAACTTAATACTAACAATTGAAGGTATTTTAATACTACAGAGCTCATTAATCATTTCTAAATTAGTTAGAGGTAAGACTTTTTCCATTTCAATTACACAGTGAAACTAATAAAACATTACTAGAATAAAAATAAAAATAAAACTAGAGTTAAACAAGAGACACACAGTCTCCTTTAGCAAATTAAAACTAGATAAATGATACTTTTATATTTTCACAATAATTTTTATGTAATTACCAAACTAGATAAGAGGTAATTTAGTATTTTAGCAAGGGTAGAAAATAAATAAAAAAATACAAACCACAACAAACAAAATATCTTTAAAAGTTAAAATATTAAAACTTGTTTTAAGGGCTTTTCTGTTTTTTCACAGAACATTTCTAGTTATTATAAGATAAGTTGGGAGGCAATTGGGTCTTAAAAAAAAAACTTATAGCATATATGGTGCCTCCCCTCAGTTAAAAATGCCATTTTGATGTGCCATTAAAAGGATATTTGTGTCCTTTTTTTAGAGACAATGCGTGTTAGTTTTAGTTTGTTAATTTGTTGTTGGTGGAGTTTTTTTTTTTCTCTCTCTTTTCTCCAAAAAAATAATAACTCAGTGCTCTTTGTTGTTAGCATTTAGATTTAAGTCCTAATTTTTATTTTATTTATTTTATCTTGATTTTTTTTGTAAATATTTAGATTTAAGTCCTAATTTTTATTTTTTTTTATTTTATCTTGATTTTTTTGTAAATATTTTATTTGTTTTTAATTTCATTAGTTAATCTTAGTAGTCATTTTTTTTCAATTTGATCTTTATTATTTTTATTTCTATTTTTTTTGTTTCTTTTGTAATAGTTTTATATGCTTTCAATTTTATTCTTCAATACAAATTTATGGTATATTATTTTTACCAATTTGATCCTTATTATTTTGAGTTTTTTTCTTTTCAATTTCATCCTTCAATCAAAATTTTCTTTTCATTTTATATGTTAATTTTGATTATTATTTGTTTTATTTTTGGATCCTTTTGCTAAATTTATTTGTAAATTAACTACACATGAAACTTTTGTATTAAGTTATTCTTTATCTGCAATTGAAAAAAAAATGACGTTTATATTCTCCTACCTGTCCTTTCAAAATATAAATTACCACAGACCCTACATGTTCATGGATTACAAGCTAGTCATTCCACGAGTCATTGCTTTGTCACGTTTGATTTTCCATAGTTTTGAACTCCTGACCAAGGAAACTTGTTTTGTGCTCAACGAATAAATAATGAATTATGGCCTATCATTTTTTTTTCATTTTTTTAAATAAACTAGCTATTTACAATTAAAAAAATAGCTGGACATCAAGCAGCTTAAGAATTCAGAAATCCAAGATGATCAAGGGACTTGTTTTACTTAGCCGAGTGGGTTTTGTTAAAAAAACAAAAAAATTACTTAAAAAATTAGGTTTTGTTAGGTGATTTTTTAATATACTATTTATATTATTTGTCTATATAATAGTATTTTGAATTTAAAATTTGTACATGAAAGATAATAATATTTAAATTTATAACTATTTAGAGTTTGCTCAAATATACAATCTCATGTCACTTTCAAATTTTTTTAATCTAATTATAGAAAAGCAATTATTTTTAGCTTAAAAATATAAATCATTTAAATAAGTTCAAAACATATATTTCTCAAGTCTATAATCATATTTTTTTTAATCTTATGTTTATCTTAGCCACTACAAAGTTTTTTATTGGAATAATTGTTTTTGTTAAACACAATATATATTTTATGATTATTAAAGCGAGTTAAAAAAAATCAAAATAGTGTGTTCATAAATTATATGTGATTGAAAACTAAAAAAATTATAAAGGTAACAAAATCATCTTTAAAATTTATTTAAAATTTTTAAAAACAAAACAATCATTTGAATTGAGTTTTCATGAACAATTTACTATTAATGTTATTATTTTTATATCAAATACATAATAATAATTGAAACAACAATTATTAGAATTCAAACAAAAATTTTAACATTTTTTAAGAACTATAGCAAAACTAAAAAGTAACTGAATTAGCATAATAACTTCTTCTTTTTTAGTGCCAAATAAAAACCAAAGAACAAAAGAACAAAAAAAACATAAAAAGATTAGGCCTAATACTTAGCCCTATAAGCAAGTCAGGTCTAATCAAACCTGGAGGCCAAGCCCACATGCTTGGCCTTGCTTTATTTTTTTCTATTAAGGGTTTGTTTTAAAAAAAAAAATAAACTAACACAAGCTTTATTTTTTTCTATTAAGGGTTTGTTATTTTTTTAAAAAAAACAAACTAGCACCGATAGTGTGTCTGATTTTCAATAGCCAAAGTGGCAAAAAACTAGGTACAAAAAAAAAACTTATGTATTTTGACCAAACAACCTATTTTCAACCAAACTTTCACCTAAAAATACTTGAGAAACACCCAACAAACCTCAGTAAACCTATTTGTGGCCTAAATAGCAAAAAATGAGTTAAAAATCGAAAAACCAAACTGAAACCACAAATCTTCATAGGCCTCAACCTATCTTTTCTGGTAATATAAGGATAAAAATCACTATCATCAGACTATTCCCATCAGATGAGATATTTTAATATCAAATTTGACCATTTTAATTGTCAAAATCACGAAAACCAAATATTTCCTCTCTTAATATCCATTTTTCGATGAGTCGTTCTTTTATTTAAGGATTGAAAATGATAAAAATAAACTTCATGATCAAAATAAAAATTGAAAAAATTTAGTGTTAGGCATTGTTATCCATGTGTCTTACATTTCATTCCTTTGTCTTTTAATTTTATAGGTCTACTATAATTTTAAGGCTAATTTTATCCAATTAGACTAGATAGGGACTAAATTGAATTAAAAATAAAGAATCAGCAAATTTACTATTTATATGAACAATGATGCTCCATAACATAATCCAATTCTTTTAATTTAGTTGTTTTAGATACTTTTTATGAATAAATTAATTTTCTAGTCCTTAGGTTTTTAATGCTCTTATATATAAAGTTAAAGGATTGTTAGGAAAAATTATTTTTTATAGTCCTATTTACTTTAGAAAAAAGTTTTCTTTTATGGTGATTTTACTCTATTTTTTCTATTTAGTTTAAGAAATAAAATATTGAGATTTGTAATTTAATTTTCTATGTTTTCCAAGAGACAAATATAATATAGTGTTTTCTTTAACAATAAAACTTTGAACTAAGGTTATTGTGTTTTACCTTATTTCAGCCAGTAATCTATTTTTTATTGCTATTATCTTATTAGTTATGCTTGTGTTTGGTGGATAATTGTGTTTTATTATAATATATTTTGCATTTTTTCCATAATTTCTAATCAGCAATTTAAATTATTATAAAAAATCAATTAGATATATAAAAAAT